TAAATTATTTTTATGCATACTGTAGGCTCGAATAGCTATGCTTCTGCCATAAATTAATATGCACAAATTGAACGGTTTGATTTTGTATAAGTTTCACCAGTATTTAAATCATAATAATAACCTCCGTCGTCATCGTCAGAAAACCTACAGAAGCTCCCATCATCAGAGAAATTCTCGTCATTATCCTCATTATCATTAACATCCTCATTTTCTTCGTTGTTATTGAAGGGATCCTCCTCATCAAAGTTGGAATCTTCATCGCCGGATACACTTACCTCTTCCTTGAGTGAAGATTCGTCTTTCTTACTTACCTCATCTACCGAATTAGAAATATGTGATGACTGAATAGAGGGAGTGGTTATAGTACTTACCTCTGTTTCCGATAAAGTTTTTTCGCATACTTTAGTTTCTATATCAGATTTCGGTTGACCATGTACGCGTGAAGAATCTTCACGCCGATCAATTTTTACACTAATGAGATTTTTTCTTCTTTTTCTTATATCTCTTCTAATAGCAAGAGGTGATAAAGGCAGAATTAAGGCAGAGTGATTAAATTCTGCTAAAGTATATTTGTCAACACCTTGTATATAATATAAATATTTTTGGGATTCAGATGATGATACCTTCGCATCTAATTCTTTAGTATAAAGATTTATAATATTTTGAATTTGTGTACCGGTTAAACTAGAAATAGCATCAACACTATATGTAATGTACTCGATTTTATCTATTCCTATCCTTTTGAATAATGTACAGATAGTTCTAGCCTTTTGAGTCATCTTACGCAAATACTCTCTCTTGATACCAGGTAGATACTGCATCATTTCATCATATATTTGCGTTCTCGCCATTTGATCACCAATATTTTTTTCTGAACTAAGATTTGAAACTTTTTTTTCATATTCCTCGTTATAATAATACCATCACAATTTTTCTTTTCGTCCAGTTTTCTCGGCCTTGCCAAATAAACGAGCTAAATGAGGTACAGAACCTGGAGTTAGATCTATATCAACAGAAATGTTTGAAATTTGTTTAATAAAGATAGAATTCAATGGAGTTTTCTTTAGACTTTGTAAGGACATGGAATCGGTGCCTCTAATAAATTCAAATAACTCATGTAATAAACCTTGTTCTACTTTCCAATTATAGGGAATTTTTATCACCAATGTACTAGCTTCTGTTATTTGGGACGGGATATCACTTAGTTCAGGGATGTCACTTTGTGCTTGATCAGTAGATAATTTGAGCTCGGGACAAGGAGACTTTATCTTTGATTGGTTATTTTTCTGTTCTCGCAATATATCACATGATAAATTAGATTGATCCGATGAACTATTATCCAAAGATAAGTTTTGATCCTGAAGTTTCTTTTCCCTAATTTTCTCCATTATCTCTTCACTAACACGTTCTTTATATTTCCTTTCTACAAAATCTAGAGTTTCAGCTAAATCGTCATCAATAGCGGAGCTAGTGCTAAAGCACATAATATCTTGTGGCAAAGAAGTGATAGATGATACAGGATCAGTTAGAGATTTAGAATCGCTCCTTTGGGTCTGGGTCGAGTTATGTTTGGACAAGAGATCAAGAGTAATACCATTATCTTTATCGAACTGATCTTTGATAGGTGGTGAAATATTTTTTGCGAGGGATACTTCCTGTTCATTAGTGATAACTGGGTTTGCTTCCGTTCCAATTTCGCAAATCGATTTTCACTTTCTTTTGCCAACTGTTCTAGTTCCACGATTCTGGCATTGAGCTCACCATCTCTCAACTTTGCATTCTCGGCATTTTCTTTTGCGGTCTGTTCTAATTTCACAAATCTGATCTCAATCTCTTCCTTATCTTGTTTTAATTTTATATTCTCAGCCTCGACTTTTGCAAATTTCTTTCTAAGTTCAGGAATCTTTTGCATTCTCCTTTCTAAGTTTAGCAATATCAGATACAAGTTTGATATTCAATTCTCTCAATGAATCGATTGTAGATTGGGTGTTTTATACAAGATACATATATGTTCAAAAGTTTGAGTTAAAATCACATGACTCTGTGAAAAAATCTGAAAACCGTTTCTCCAGGAAACGATCAAGAAAAAAATTATTCCAGAAAAATAATAATAATACATCTACATTACACGAAAAATAACACATGATAAATTGTACATTCCTCTCTTTATTAATAGTGGAGCTAGTGTCTTTGACACATAAAATACATAATAAATATACACATTAAAAATACATGAAAAAATCTATCTAATTAGGAATTAGGAGGAGGGGATGTTACTGTTGAACTATCTAAATTTCTATTTGATCTGTGATTATGTGCACCGCGTAATAGAGACATATTAACTATTAATATATTACGGAAAATTAATAAAGTATATATAAAATCAGCTAAAATGGAAGGATTGTTGGAATATTGAATAGGAATTTCTGTTTCGTGTAATTTGTAATATTGGTGAACTTCAAGCTCATTTCTAATAAAGACATTCAAACTCAATCTACATCCAGCTACTTGATACCAAATTGTTCTTTTTCCAACCCACAACTTTTTTGCATCCAGTATAATTCATCATTGCATTCATACTATACATGTTGTTGACCCTGTTTCTTTATTTTTTATATTTATATATATTTTTATTATAACATATTTTATTATTATTATTTTA